GGCTCGTGTCTCCGGGTGGATTGGCGGCCAGGGATCCTAAATTTGCTACAGCTGAACGATCTTTGTTTCGCTCAGTCCCTTTTGACGTCCACGCTCTGCGACGGACTACTCTTGCCTGTACGCTGAAATTGCTTCCCATTGATGTGTGCCATCTGAAAAAGGATTCAAAACATACAGTCACGGTTCATCAGTCATTCAGCTGCACTACTTTTTTGGCGCCTAGTTGCCTTGTCACCTGAAGAAAGTACGAGGACTGAGATACTGCCATGTTGCTCTAACCCAAAAAGGAGCTGCCAAGACGTGCAGGTTGGATTCGTACCAACAACTTTCCGGCCAGTAGTTTCGCTCAATAACCACTGAGCTGCGTCGAGCTCGAAGTCCAAGCAAGGTTGTTAAGATGACATCATTGTCGGTCTTCCCTTGCTTCTGATTACGCAGCTCTGGCGCTCTGGAAGCGGCGGTTGCCAGAATCTGCTGTGGTTGGGATTCTTCCATGCCATCGGGGTAGGAAAGCTCTCTATTGATGGCTGCCCAACCTTAGGTACAAACACTGGACTAATGTATTGACACTTGTGGATTAATGTTTCGATCACTGGAGATCTGGAATACTAGGAAGATAGAAGTATTCTTGGTGTGGTGGACGCTGAAGTGGGTAGATTTCGCAAATCAGTAAACGCCCATTAAAGCTATGCGCCAACCACACACCGTTTATGTGCAGCACCAAACAATTGCAGCCGGTTGGTCACTGTTATGGAATCTAATGATGATTTGTCAGGCACAGGAATCGACAAGACAAACAACTTTGAGGAAGATGTGCTGCTGACAGACGAATTGTTCCGTGATATGAAATTCAAATGGACCAAGATGTCAAGAGCTAACAGTTCAATAGATCATCAACGACAGGTTAAAATATGGAAAACGGTCTCAGTATGCAAGAAAAGTGTTATCACCATGGGTTTTTTCGTTTGTAGTCAGTATCTTTGGCAGTTTTCCCTTTGAAGTTTTTGGTCGCTGTGGCTTGTGTTGCACTGGTATGACGAGCTTTCGCATTCGAACCAACCAGCGATGAAAACGCATGATAACTTTAACTTCTTTCTTGGACACAGCTCCCACGCTTGCGATCGAAAACCGATCTCTTTGTGATCGTAACTACCCTGTTAAGGCTAAAAAGGCTTTCTCATCTTGGACACACCGAATATGGTGAAACCCAGTGGCTATTCAGGCCACCCTAAGGCACTTTTCCATGACTATTATATATGGTCTGGGCTTCATTTAACTGGTCCTTTGTGCTAGCTTATTGCCACTCATCTCCACTCACGAAACCATGTCTAAACTTGCCGAATACATGGGCGATTAAGAGGCCATCGCTGATGCAATCTAACTGTCTCTGATGACGTTCATCTAACTGAGGATTGTAAGTACGTCCAAGCACCATACACTGCCACAATGCCGCTACCCTTTCCTCTGTCCTCTTAGCTGTCTGTGGACTCTCAGTGCACCCTGTCTGCCCACGCAAATCTGTCTCACATTGTCAGCCTTTTCAGTCAATGTCATCATCATCATCATCGACAGTATGACAGCAGTGTTCAACACTGATGTTGTCAATCGCTAACAATCCACCGACGTTGACTGTACCATAACTTCCACTTCCTTATCATCTTGCCCGACAAGTCAAATGGCTCCCTAGCTAAAAACGCTCGCCTTAACTGCATGCTTTCATCCAAAAACCTACCTTATCCGGCCTGTTGTAACATATATTTCAGAGAATTCTTTTATGGGTCCAAAGCATCGATTATAGCAGCATAAAAAATACCGTATTCCGTAAGGTAACAGAGCTTCATAAAATGCACTCGGTGTGAAGCCTCTGACGCAATTTGTTTTACACAGGTTTTAACTGCGCCATGCTTAAGTCACTTAATCGCCTAAACATGCAACGCAAACATACACCCCACGTTTTCTTCTATCTCTTGACCTTGCATGATTTGACTTACAAAGTGCCCTAAACAAGCCCAATTTCCGTGATTCATTAGCACTCTGTTCTGCTCAGCATCTGATATTAGAAGGTCATCCAGATGCCTAGTCGGTATGCCACCGCTAACCGCGCCCCTCAACTGGAAAATTGTTTTCGTTTGCGACGCCACGACATACTTCCTCGATTGAGAGCTGCAGAGGAGTTGCGAAAACTCCAGCGACAACTTCCAATCCCATTTGCTCTAGAATGCTCCACTTTATAAAGTTCTGTTTCCTCCAATTTCTGAAAGCTAACCACACGTGTGGAAGCGCGGATCGCCCAGCTGAAGATCCTTGATACGCATCGTTTGGTAGCCTGACCAATCAGTGCATGCCTTTGTTTGATCCGTAGCCCACACTTGACACGTCAGTCTAATGGACGTGTTGTTTGTCGATAGACGTGGCTGGTCTTGGTAATCTCCCCCTTGGTGGAGCCGTTCAATCGCTCGGGACTTTGAAATCAACTATGGTGACTCACGAAGAGACGAGTAACTACGACTGACTCAACAGTGATATCAGAGGACAATACGGTTATGTATTCAGCTCCAGCGTTCTCGTTACAGCCAATCTTGTCAAGTTCTATCTGCCAACGGCCTCTAATCAACTTAGTCTTTACGGGGTAGGACATCCGACAATTCATTCTCAAGATCCACCCGTTCACAGCGTTGTGGCAAGATGAGGCCCATGCGAGGAGCCCAAAGCAAACGTCGTAAACCCTGGCAAAACACTATTACCTTTTGTTTCATCAGTGCTGGAGGAAGACCACTTTTACACTGCTCAAAAAGAAGCGATTGTCATGCCAATCCACAAAAATGTTCATCTAATCTCGCCCTGCATCTACGCGCCTACCAGTCTCATTGGGGTGCCGTGCAAGGTGATGGAACGCATTCTGAAGCAAGTCATCCTAGATAACCTTAATTCCAACAACTTGATATTTCCAGTTCAACATGAGTTGAACAAAAGTTGACAAGGAACTCTCTTCGCTGAACCAATACCTCGCGATATCCATGCCGGGCCCTATGGCTGCGAAGAAAGTAATACAACCCGCTGACGCGGCTATCAAGACCGCCACAGCATCTTCAGTGGATAGGCGCCTAATGGAAATCAGATTGATAATCTTGGGGTCATTCCCTGGAAAAATCGCGCCAACAAAGCTGGCAAAATCGGAACGTCCTCACCAAACCCGACCAATCGCACCATACAGAATGGTTACGCCAGAAGGGAAGCAAGAGAATGCTTGGACTTCTCGTCACTCTTTCTTCCCCATCTGACGTACAGAGGATCTTGGAGCAGGCTGGCAGCATTTGTAAGACCAACCCGACGGTCAGGCGTCTAGCTGAGGATCGCCCTCTAGACGCGCGAAAGCTCGATCACAACAGGTCAGGGGTGGAGGCACGAAACAGGCTTCCGCTGGGCATAAACTCAGCCGACCCCAAACTCATGACCAAGCCGATTGTGTTCATATCCTGTTGTGCTCCCGAAAGCACGCCGACAAAACCAGCTGAGTCTCCGGACAGCAGTTTTATTCGACCACCACAGGCCCCTCGCCCACCAAATGCACTGATGCCCTGGAGGAGGC